AAGTAATCCTGACTGCTAATTAAACTTGATCTTAACGACGTACTTCTAGTAATGCTTTTTGCAAACAAAAAGAAAACAACAAACCCATATTGCAAATCATACCCATTGGAGTCGGGAAACTATTCCCACAAGTCGGGTAAGTATTGCGAGTACATTGTGTACTCAGGATTTATTTTACCCTATTGCAGGTGCAGCTTGAGAAGTAGCTCTTGTGTGGAGGATTCTTCTAGTGGGCTCAGACGGATTCTTGTATCGTTTCGCTAGATATTATTTTAAATTCCGTTGTTTAATTATCGCACTCTAACTCTGGTATTGTAATAAATAATTTTCAAGAACTCTTGTTGTATGAAATGGACTAAGTATTGCAAGCTCGTACTCATTATTGGGTTCTAGATGTAAAACATGGATTGTTTCCAGTTCTCCCATGGGGTGTGCTCAACGAAACTGTCCGATGTAGCTAACTTTTGGGGTGCTTAGTGTCTAGTGGAAGATGAGCACCTCCGAAAGCATGTTATTCGGACTGTTCTGGCACACCTAGACCCCTTGACAGGAGTGGAACAGGTTGGTCTTGTTTGTGCCTAGGGTACAAGCGAGGCGTGTGTTTCGGGGTACCTAGATGGGATACATTGATTCACGAATAGACATTTCTGTGAGATGGTATGACTTGGCTTTGGTATAGCACCGTAGTAAGAACAGGAATTTGAAAGGTGGTAAAATGATTCAGATTGCTTACCACATGCTTGAAAGTAGCATAAGTGCTTACATAGAATGGTTAGTTAATGAACTAATGATGACTACTAGTAAAATTGAGTATGAGGACGAACATTTATTAATGCTTCCTGCAGATGCAATAACCCACAAGCAAGATAGTTTTGCATATTCTTGAAGTCTTTTATTTTTCTTCTATCGGGTAAGTCTTGCTGAGTACAATCGAGTACTCAGGGTTTTATTCCCCCTGTTGCAGGTGACAGGAGGATACATAGAGCTGACTCTTGTGTGTGGAAACCTTCTGATGGGCTCAGAAAGGATTCCTTTCATGCTACGACCGTAGTGTTTATTTATAACCCTCCCTAAAGGTTTTTATAAGAAAAGATATAAAACCTGCTAACATCTCTTGTTTATAAATGACCACTGTGTTAATACTCCATCATGTCATTAAATTAATCTTTGTTTCCTCTATAACTCTGATAACATTGTTATATTTCGCTGTTATAATCAATTGTGCTAATATTCTGTACTATAATAAAGTGATGTAAGAAATGACTTAAGAATACTGTAAGCTTTATTCTCTCATTTATGATCCTGATGGAAAAATGTGGATTTTCTAGTCCTCCCTTAGGGTGTGCTCGACGAAACTGCGTAGTTTAGTGTCCTCTCTTGAGTACTTAGTGTCTAATGAAAGACAAGGAATTCTGGGAGACATTAGATTAGGCGGTTCTGCCACAGTCCTCACGCGTTTTCACGCGTAGAAACCGTTTCTAAACAAGAACCTGGGTCTTCATGTTTTACAAAGCAGGAGAAACCATCATAGATCACGTTGGAGTGGGTGGCGTCGTTTCGCATCCTACAGCTCACCGTGCACCACCACCCTGCCCACAAACCGTACTGCTCACCTACGCTAGCACATGTCCGAACGCCGCAGCCACACATACCGCCGAGACTCAGATTCGCCACTGGGTAGCCCAGGCTCTCGCAGGTCCGCCGCCACGCTGCGCCGCTGCCCGCCGCGGCCGCTTAGGACCTGGTAACGTGCTTGCCGGCGCGGGGGAGGCAGGTGCCACTCGACATCGATGTGTGGTAGGAGAGCGCTCAGCTGCTGCCATGGGTGAGTAGCGTGAGTGCACGACCTTGGCTACCAGCCTAGGAGAGGAGAAGCTCTGCACGGCCGCCGGCTTGGTGGGAGGAGGGCACGGCGCTCGCCCGCAGTTGTGGGAGCAGGAGGGGTGAATCTACGATATAATCGGCATGGGGAAGGGCACGACCATGACGCCCAGGTTCGTGTGGCTAGGGACCAGAGAGAGAAAGATGGGAGACCATTGGATGGGGGAATAAAGGGACCCACATAAAAACTTTTGTGTTGTTGACGATGTTTTCTACGAGTAGTTTTTTATGCCATGGAAAATACCCAACAATTTCTATATTGGGAGTGCCCTAAGTTAATGTAAGATGGTACGAGACAGGGAAGGATGTGACTGCATCATGGAAAGTAAAAAAGAAAATAAGAAAAAATTAAGTCACTTATCTCGCTAGTGAGTGCCGGCCGGAGTATTTATTTTAAAAATGGCTACGTTTTAAGAATGGCGCAGGTGGGAGCAAAGTCAACAGGGCCATCATCAGCTGTTCAGCTTCTACTCCCCGTCCCTCCAGCTCATAAATAGGGCAGACAGTGTCGTTGCCAAGCCGGACGAAGCTGTGGGCGACCTAGCAAACCACTACTACCTTGTACCTGTGCTGGCGACTAAGAGAGGCAGGCCGGCAGGCATCATCCATGGCGGCCGGCGGCGACACCATTGCCCTGGTCCACAGCAGCATGGACAGCAGCAACAAGACGCTGCTCAAGAGCGAGGCACTCTACAAGGTACGACACGTGATTAATTGGCAACCATACCATTGGTTTGGTCGTGGTTACCTTCTTTATGCGCCCTAACTGAATGGATCGGCACAAACTCATTGACAGAGTCAAACTACTCCACTATTGTCTTCCTCTCTTCTTCTTTTTTTACCAACTCTTATCTCATGTATTATGTGCCTATGCCAAATTAAGATGGCCTTATGTTATCACTTGGGAGCTCAATTTCTCGGTGAAGCCACTATCCAAGTCTCTTGCACACTCCCATCGGTCCAATTTGTAAGGCGAACAAACATCTATTAACATTCAACCTTCACAATCTTTGACCAATAATTTGATCAACGATTTACAAATATTGCAATATAAACTTGATACTGTTAGATTTATAATCAAATATATTATTCAATTATTATAACTAATAATCATAAAATATATAATATAAAATAAATAAATCGCCATATCTGAAAGCGCCTTGTAAACTAGCTTGAAGAGAGTATTAGGGCCTGTTTGGATCCATGTGACTAAAGTTTAGTCACCCCTTTTAGTCCCTGAAGTTCCAAACACAGTGACTAAAAGGGTGACTAAAGGGATTTAGTCCATTAGTCCCTTGGCAGTGACAAAAGAGGACTAAACTGTCAAAAAGACACCCCTGCCCCCTCGTTAATGCATCGCGACCTTCCCCACCCCCGAAGACCCCCGCGCTCCCCCACCGCCCCCCCCCCCTTCTGGTCTTTGTACAGCACCTTCAATGGCCATTAGTCCCTCCATCCAAGTAGGGTAGGGACTAAAGTTTAGCCTACGGACTAAACTTTAGTCCAGCGACTAATGGATCCAAACATGTCCTTCTTTATTTTTCTTGTGGATCTGTAGTTATCTTGTTTTTTTACCCAAAAATATCACCAGATCCATCATAATGCTACACTCCTGCTGTAGCCATTGCTACATCAAGCAGCCACGGGATTGCCCCGTCGCCATGCCAACATCTATCAATGCCTAATGTTTTTCCAAACAAACTCGTGGAGCCACCATTGACACCTATCCATACCAACATCTCAGACCTGCTATCCATGCTACTCAACCTTACTTGCATTGGCCCACTATGATCGCATTCATTTGCACTTGTGATCAGTGACTAACTTCTTTTTTTTGAAAACATATCAATGACTAACTTCTCGTGGAGAGATAAAAGTCAAACGATACCTGTTGTATTGCTGACGAGCTTGTCTTGGATGCACATCAAGAAATCGATGGACCGATTACATGTAAGGTATCAAAAGTTGGTATATGCCTTTTCATGACTTCTCATAATTTTGGTCATAGGAACCTGCTCCTGCCCTAGGCCACCACCATGAAAATCACTCACCAAAGTCAATAGTGATGCCAAAACTTCTACTAGTCAGAGGTCTTGGTAATATGTTAGTGCCATATGATGAGAGAGTAGCTTGAGGTCGTGAGGTGTAGAGCATGATGGATGAGCGAGTGTCATGGGGACTACAAGTGTTTCGATGTTTATTATAGGTGTGCGGGTGCCCGGCTTCCATTGCTCTTATACATCCGTTTAATACCTCCATGGACGTATTATGTGGTTTTTTTTTGTTTTTATTATGTCATAAAAAATCCACTTGTAATGCTATTTCAATTCACACCATTTTCTCTTTCCATATTTATTGGATTATTTGTTTGTTTATTTATAGCCTGTTTGGTTTGCAATACGATCATCCGATCCTAATTTCAAGCCTATGGCCCTGTTTGGTTTGAGTTGCCGATTTACATCATCCGTCATCTGCTTAGCACTAGTAGAAGGTCAATCTATGGATTGAATGAGTGCATCCAATGAAAAGAGTGCATCCAATGAAAAATCACCGGGCCACCTTATTCCAGATCCATCCACACCGAATGGGATTGTCTGTCTAACCAAACACAATGTTATATCTCTTCACAGATCTAGATATTTACAATCTAGGCTTATAGGACCAATAATATCGTAGTTTCTAGCACGAAATAAATAATCTTTTAAAACTTTACTTATATATCAATACACCGATTTTGTATTTATGATTGTTTTCCAAGCCTATGGATATTTTCCAACATCAGATCATCTTTTGTATTTACTATTTTTTTTAAAAATTATTATTGAATTTAGATATTTTGTAACTATAATCTATTATACTATTAGTTAGGCTTTTATCTTCCTAATTCATTTGGAGATCAAAATATGATTTTTTCTAGTTTTTATTTAAATTTCACTTTTTGTTTATCACATTCTTGGGCTTTTTATTCACTGTGTTTTTTTCCCAACACGCGTATGGAATTCAATTATTTTAGTTCTTTTCATTACTCGTAATTTACTATCATTAATAATTGTATTAAGCACGGGATCGGTAGTTTAATCTAAGCATAACAAAGATCTGTATCTGTATTATACGTGCAGTATGTGCTTGACACGTCGGTGCTGCCGCACGAGCCGGAGTGCATGCGTAACCTGCGCCTCGTCACAGACAAGCACGCGTGGGGGTTCATGCAGTCCTCCCCCGACGAGGCGCAGCTGCTGCGGATGCTCATCAAGCTCATCGGCGCGCGCAACACCCTGGAGGTGGGCGTGTTCACCGGCTACTCCCTGCTGGCCACGGCGCTGGCTCTCCCCGACGACGGGAAGGTCATCGCCTTCGACATTAATCGCGACTACTACAACATCGGCCGCCCCTTCATCGAGCGCGCCGGCGTCGCGGGCAAGGTCGACTTCCGCGAGGGCCCCGCGCTGGAGAACCTGGACGCGCTGCTCGCCGACGAGGCCAACCTGGGCGCCTTCGACTTCGCCTTCGTCGACGCCGACAAGCCCAACTACGTGCGGTACCACGAGCAGCTGCTCCGCCTGGTGCGCGTCGGCGGCATCATCGTGTACGACAACACGCTGTGGTGCGGTACGGTGGCCATGCCGCCTGAGACACCGATGTCGGACCTGGACAAAAGGTTCTCGGCCGCCATCAGGGACCTCAATGTTCGCCTCTCCGCGGATGACCGCGTCGAGGTCTGCCAGCTCGCCATCGCCGACGGCGTCACCATCTGCCGCCGCCTCGTCTGACGGAGTGAGTGACATGGCTCGCGTGTGAATGCTTCGTCGATCAGTTCTCCCTCCGATCCGATCCCTTTGGTGTTGCATGATGCTTTCAATAATATTTTTTCCTTCGTTGTGTTTTCTTTTTCATATTTTTGGAGTTGAGAGCCTCAGATCGACAGATCCTGTGGTTTATGTTACCTGATTTGGAATAACTACATCACATTAATAAATTGTCACTTTGTGAGATCCTACTTGAATTGAAACAACTGTATACACCCTCCGTCTTAAAATATGGTGCATTATGATTTTCTAAATTTTATACTGAAATATAAAGCATTGTGCTCATGCTTATAATTAGCAAAGTTTGTTAAAAGAGAAACCATAATTTTAGGAGAAACTCTTTAATTGAATTTAAATCCATGGGCACATACATCATTTGAGTATTCTCTTAAATATTTTAGAATGCATTGTATTACAAGATAGATGGATTACAGCACATTTAATTTAGAGTCTCCTAGAGTAACACATTGTGGTCTTGTTTGGAGATGAACCTTTGTCAACAATCGAGATGGTCCATAGTCAACAACCGACATGTATGAATAGAAGCTATGCGAACCAAGGATGACCACAACCATAAGCAACTCGCAAGCACAGGTTAGGGTCTTCTATCTCTTCATAAATTCTTACATGCCACTATTTTTCCTTACTGCATCTTGTGTAGTGAGATGAAAGGTAAGCGAGGGCTCAATGCTCCAACCGCACAAGGAGAAAAGGATGATGATTGGAAGATTGGGATCCTTGGATTGAGATGTGGAGTGGATCGACGCTGATTTGGGGAAGGTGTCCTTGCTTTCTCTTCACTCTCATGGCCTAGTGAGAGAAAAGAGGGAAGGAAACGGTGGAGAGAGGGGGGTATGCAGAGAACTAAGGGAATAATGATGTGTTCGAGCTGACATTTGGGCACAAGAGCGGTGAGGTGTGGACACCTTCGTCTTTGCATGTGCTCAGTAGCGAGGATGTCGAGTGGTCTGAGGGTTATTGTCAGATGGTCTGATAGCGTTGGTTGACCTAGCAGATTCACTAGTTAACATGAAGTGGTGTTTTGGCATTGGCAGATGGTCCAAGCCAAAAAAAGGTTTTTGCTTGGATCAAATGAGATGCTCTCAAGGTTTCATTGGGACTTCTCTTATTGAATAGGTGGAAAATGATGATGGCTTGATGGTAGAACGTTGCCGATGACGACATGATATGTCCTTTTTGGTTGAATCCACATTGTTCCTCAACTTAAGGAGGGTTCTCAAGGATGACTTACTCTCCCACTAACCATTAGGATTGACTGGAGGGTTTATGGTTCAGAAGATGAGCATGTATTGTAGGGTAGAGTCGACTTACATAAGGCAACAAACTTTGATAAAAAAAGCTTTGGATGTGAAGTTTGGTTTATCGTCATATGCTTGAAGATGGACCTAGGAAAGTATTGATTGACTTAGGAGTGACTTGTCTCAAGATCAAGGATTATGGTTAAGAAATATTAGGTGTGGCATGAACAGAGTGCTAGCTTTAGCATCATCATCGACTACTTCAGCTCCAGCCCACACCTTCAACTTAAGGGGCTTGCCTTCAGCATTGGCGTCAACTTCAGCTTTGCCCTGCTACCTTTGGCTCAGGGGCTCACCATCAGCATCTCGGTGACCTCGCTACCTTTAGCTCAGGGGCGGGCGTCAGCGTCAATTTCTGCTTCGCCCAGCTACCTTTAGTTCATGGACTCGCCTTTAGCATTGGCGTCAACTCTAGCTTTGCTCCACTAACTTCGGCTCAGGGGATTGGCGTTAGCATCAGCGTCAACTTCAGCTTCGAACCCTCAGACTAGAAACTTACCGATTGCTTCAGCAATGACTTCAACTACATCGAATTCATTTGCACTTGTGATCAATGACTAACTTCTTTTTTTTTTTTGAAAACGTATCAATGACTAACTTCTCGTGGAGAGATAAAAGTCAAATGATACCTGTTGTATTGCTGACGAGCTTGTCATGGATGCACATCAAGAAATCGATGGACCGATTACATGTAAGGTATCAAAAGTTGGTATATGCCTTTTCATGACCTCTCATAATTTTGGTCATAGGAACCAGCTCCTGCCCTAGGCCACCACCATGAAAATCACTCACCAAAGTTAATAGTGATGCCAAAACTTCTACTAGTCAGAGGTCTTGGTAATATGTTAGTGCCATATATATGATGACAGAGTAGCTTGAGGTCGTGAGGTGTAGAGCATGATGGATGAGCGAGTGTCATGGGGACTACAAGTGTTTCGATGTTTATTATAGGTGTGCGGGTGCCCGGCTTCCATTGCTCTTATACGTCCGTTTAATACCTCCATGGACGTATTATGTGTTTTTTGTTTTGTTTTTATTGTCATAAAAAATCCACTTGTAATGCTATTTCAATTCACACCATTTTCTCTTTCCATATTTATTTGGATTATTTGTTTGTTTATTTATAGCCTGTTTGGTTTGCAATACGATCATCCGATCCTAATTTCAATCTATGGATTGAATGAGTGCATCCAATGAAAAGAGTGCATCCAATGAAAAATCACCGGGCCACCTTATTCCAGATCCATCCACACCGAATGGGATTGTCCGTCTAACCAAACACAATGTTATATCTCTTCACAGATCTTGATATTTACAATCTAGGCTTATAGGACCAATAATATCGTAGTTTCTAGCATGAAATAAATAATCTTTTAAAACTTTACTTATATATCAATATACCGATTTTGTATTTATGATTTTTGTCCAAGCCTATGGATATTTTCCAACATCAGATCATCTTTTGTATTTACTATTTTTTTTAAAAAATTATTATTGAATTTAGATATTTTGTAACTATAATCTATTATACTATTAGTTAGGCATTTATCTTCCTAATTCATTTGGAGATCAAAATATGATTTTTTTTCTCTAGTTTTTATTTAAATTTCACTTTTTGTTTATCACATTCTTGGGCTTTTTATTCACTGTCTTTTTTCCCAACACGCGTATGGATTAGCATAGGTGCTTTGTGAAGTGCTTAGGTTGATTAGACCACCGCTTATGCGCTTGCTCTAGGTGTAGGCCTAGTGTTTAGTGAGGTTTGCATACCTCTTACCACTCGGTTCTTGCGCGCACCATTGTTGTACATCGGAGGGCCTTGTAGTCTTGCGAGATCACACCAACCGCGTTTGTAGTGTGGCCGCCACCGTGTACCAGAGAGAACAAGGCCCACGTCATTTTGGCTGGAAGCTTGATAGTGAAGACTGCGGGGAGCAGTCTGGGTGAGGCTTGCCGGAGGGCACACCGGAGACCCACTTGCACGTGGGGAAGGCCCGGGGCTATCCCCGGAGTTACCCGACCGGGAGCTTGGCCCTTGCGAGAGATTCCTTACGAGGGGCTCCAACGAGGACTAGGGGGGAGCTTGCGCGCTTCTTGAATCCTCGGTAAAAATACCAAAGTCGTCGACGGGAGTTTGCATATCTCTACCTTACTCTTAGCTTCCGCATTTATATTGTTTGCATAACTCATTTTGCAATAGAGATAGCAACACACTAGCAAAATCGTAGTTACACATTTAGATAGTTTATCTTTTGCATAGGTTTTGCTAAGGGTAGAAAAAGAGGCCATAGTTTAGAGTTAGAATTTTAAGTTGCCTAATTCACCCCCCCTCCTCTTAGGCGTCATGGTCCCCTTACACCACTATTTTTCCTTACTGCATCTTGTGTAGTGAGATGAAAGGTAAGCGAGGGCACAATGCTCCAACCGCACAGGGAGAAAAGGATGATGATTGGAAGATTGGGATCCTTGGATTGAGATGTGGAGTGGATCGAGGCTGATTTGGGGAAGGTGTCCTTGCTTTCTCTTCACTCCTATGGCCTAGTGAGAGAAAAGAGGGAAGGAAATAGTGGAGAGAAGGGGGTATGCAGAGAACTAAGGGAATAATGATGTGTTCGAGCTCATTTGGGCACAAGAGCGGTGAGGTGTGCACACCTTCGTCTTTGCATGTGCTCAGTCGCGAGGATGTCGAGTGGTCTGAGGGTTATTGTCAGATGGTTTGATAGCGTTGGTTGACCTCAGCAGATTCACTTGTTAACATGAAGTGGTGTTTTGGCATTGGCAGATGGTCTGAGCCAAAAAAAAAAGGTTTTTGCTTGGATCAAATGAGATGTTCTCAAGGTTTCATTGGGACTTCTCTTATTGAATAGGTGGAAAATGATGATGGCTTGATGGTAGAACGTTGCTGATGACGACATGATATGTCCTTGTTGGTTGAATCCACATTGTTCCTCAACTTAAGGAGGGTTCTCAAGGATGACTTACTCTCCCACTAACCATTAGGATTGACTGGAGGGTTTATGGTTCAGAAGATGAGCATGTATTGTAGGGTAGAGTCGACTTACATAAGGCAACAAACTTTGATAAAAAAAGCTTTGGATGCGACGTTTGGTTTATCGTCATATGCTTGAAGATGGACCTAGGAAAGTATTGATTGACTTAGGAGTGACTTGTCTCAAGATCAAGGATTATGGTTAAGAAATATTAGGTGTGGCATGCACTGAGTGCTAGCTTTGGCATCATCATCGACTACTTCAGCTCCACCCACACCTTCGACTCAAGGGGCTTGCCTTCAGCATTGGCGTCAACTTCAGCTTTGCCCTGCTACCTTTGGCTCAGGGGCTCACCATCAGCATCTCGGTGACCTCGCTACCTTTAGCTCAGGGGTGGGCGGCAGCGTCAATTTCAGCTTTGCCCAGCTACCTTCAGTTCATGGACTCGCCTTTAGCATTCGTGTCAACTCTAGCTTTGCTCCACTAACTTTGGCTCAGGGGATTGGCGTTAGCATCGGCATCAACTTCAGCTTCGAACCCTCAGCCTAGAAACTTACCGATTGCTTCAGCAATGACTTCAACTACATCGCATCTTGGGCATCGACTATAGCTTTGCCCTGCCAAACCTTTAGCCCGGCGCTTGCAGCCATCTTGA